TTGATCCCACAAAGAGTAGAATCGCAGAATCTGGAGGGAACCGTAAGACCCATCATCCACTTTCAATGCAGGAACACACAACTAAAGCACTCCATCTAACCTCTGTTTAAAAGCCTCCAATGACAACACTGTGCTAACTGTTGCAAGACTGGATTCTAGGATCGTTTTTAGACTGCTTTTAGAGGAGTTTTTAAAAGAGTATTTTAATGCGTTTTTTAAAGAAATAATATTTGTATTGTTTTAATTTGTTTTTTTATTTGTTCATCACTTCAGGGGCCCCTTGTGGGCTGGGAAGATGATACAGAAATAATAATAATAATAATAATAATAATAATAATAATAATAATAATAATAATAATAAGCAGCAACTCAATTCTCTAAGGATCTGAGCTTTCTTACCAAGGGACTCTTGAGATGAATTGGGGCAAATGCTGGACATAGTAAAGAAGACGCAAAGTTGCCGACTAGTAACTATTTTAGTATCTTATACACAATAATATCAGTCAGCCAAAAGATACAAATTTACACTTGCTGGAGTCTATTTTGTTAAGATCAAAGGAATGAGAACCTAGGTAGCATAATGCTTTAGAGTCAACCAAGAGATACAAGGACCTGGGTTCAAATTCTCGCCCAGCCACAAAGCTAGCTGGATGACTTACCTGCCTACAATGTACCTCTCAAAGTTTTTGTAAGAATATAATGGGAGCCAGCAAGACTCAGCTCATATATGTTGCCCCAGATTATTCACACATTGGGATAATCCATTTTTAAGGGTGTATCTACACTGTAGAAATAATGCAGTGTGACACCATTTTTACTGCCATGGCTCCATCCTACAAAATCCCGAGGTTTGTAATTTGGTGAGGCACCAACGCTCTTGGGCAGAGAAGGCGAAACACCTTGTAAGACTACAAATCCCAGGATTCCATACGATGGAGCTGCAGCACTTCATGTGGTGCCAAGCTGCATTATTTCTACAGTGTAGATGCACCAAGTGAAATCAGCAAAGCTCAGTTATAGCATAGCTTTACAAGGTCCAAGCAAAATAACATTAAAATGTGCAAGCTTTTCAGCTCTACGGATTTCTTCTTTAGCCAGGGCGGTATACAAAAGTAGGGAACTGGGATAGAAGGAAGAGAAAAGTTCTGCCGTCCGCCCCAAAAAAGTAGGCCAGATGTTGTCATGAGCTCTACGATTAATTTAGTATCAAAATGGACATTTCAGACAGTAGTAATACATGTTCCACATCCTCTACTTTTTTCTGATACCTAACTCGATGAAGGAAAGCCAGTGTGGTATAGTGGTTTGAGCATTGGATAGGATTCTGGAGACCAGGGTTCGATTCCTGGCTCACCCATGAAACCCACTGAGTGACCTTGGGCAAGCCACACTCTCTCAACCTCAGGGGAAGGCAATGGCAAACCTCCCTGGAACCAATCTTCCCAAGAAAGCCCCATAATGAATGCCTTAGGGACGCCGTAAGTCAGAAATTACTTGAAGGCACACAACACACAACATGATGAAGAGTTCTTGAGGACTCAAAAGTTTACATACTTTTGTAGTATTTTGCTTTGCCTAAGGGTTTGATTCCCAGCTCAAGTCACATGCTCTCAGCCTCAGGGGAAGGCAATGGCAAACCGTCCCTGAACAAATCTTGCCAAGAAAACCCCAAGACAGAGTCGCCATAAGTCAGAAACAACTTGAAGGCTCACAATAACAATGATAAATGTATGCCCAATGATTAATTTTTTTCCATCACCGACCAGCATGCCTATCCTTTTTTCTTCCTCGCTCTGTATTTATTATTTTATTTATTTATATCTAGGATTTATATCCCACCTTTCTCCACAATGGGATTCAAAGTGGCTTGTGTTTGTGTGTTTCAATAGGCAAAGTCATCTCTGAAGTTATTTAAGTATATAGACATAAGTAGAGGCAAAAAGAAGGGGCTCTGGATAATCTACACTGTTGAAATAATGCAGTCTGACACCACTTTAACTGCCATGACTCCATCCTGCAGGTTCCTGGGATGTGTAGTTTTGTGACGGACCAGCATACTTTGGCAGAGAATTATAAAGACCCTGTAAAACTACAAATCCCAAGAATCCATAGCATGGAGCGGCAGCAATGCATCTGAGGAAGTAGACTGAAGTCTACGAAAGCGCATGCTGCCAACTTCTTTATTTCAGTTAGTCATAGAATCATAGAATCATAGAGTTGGAAGAGACCACAAGGG